GACTTGTTGAGGAACAATACAATATTCTTTGGGACTACGGGGAAGAGTTGAAGAAAACTAACCCTGGAAGTACTGTGCAGGTTAAGGTAACAGGAGGTGTGTTTAAGAGAATATATGTATACTTGGGGGCATGTAAAGAAGGTTTCAAGGCTGGTTGTAGTCCTGTGATAGGACTTGATGGGTGTTTTCTGAAGACTACACATGAGGGTCAATTATTAGCAGCAGTGGGGATTGACGGTGAGAATTGTATGTTCCCAGTTGCTTGGGCAGTTGTGGATGCAGAGAATAGAGCCAATTGGACTTGGTTTATAGAACAATTGTTGGTGGATATAGAAATGTATAATAGTAGGGCTTGCACTTTCATATCTGACAAGCAAAAAGGATTGGTTGAAGCCCTGAATCAGTGTTGTGAAGGTGCAGAACACAGGTACTGCGCCAGACATTTGTACAGCAATTTCACTCTCAAACATAAAGGGCTAACTCTAAAGAATTTGTTCTGGGTTATAGCCAAGTCTACAACTGTACCAGAGTGGAATGCAGTTATGAATGAGATGAAGACAGTGAATGAAGAAGCCTTCTGTTAGTTTAAGGAGAAGCCTGCAGCTCAATGGACGAGATCCCATTTCCAGGAGCATACGAAGTGTGATATCTTGTTGAATAACTTGTGCAAAGCTTTCAATGCTTCCATCGTTGTAGCTAGGGAAAAGCCTATAATCACAATGTTGGATAAGATAAGGCATCAACAAATGACACGGATGGCTGCAAAAAGGGAGGCAGCTCAAAGGTGGGATCGTGCATATGGTCCAAAAATTGTAGGGATAATTGAGAAGGCTAAATCAGACGCGAGGTTTATGAGAGCAGATTATGCAGGTAATAAAAAATTTGAAGTTCGCAACACAGATGGTTTGAGGTGGAGTGTGGATTTGTTGACAAAAGAATGTGCATGTAGGAAATGGAAATTGACTGAAATTCCCTGTGCACATGCCGTTTCTCGTATGCTGTCAAGGATAATAGAAATAGATGAATTTGTAGATGAATATTACAAAAAGGAGAGATATCTTATGGCATACAACCCCGTGATTCAACCAATGTCAGGTCCCGAACTTTGGCCCGAATTAGGGAAACACCCATTGAAGTCACCAGTAAAGAAGAAGCAGGCAGGCAGGCCTAAAAAGCTCAGAAAAAGATCTCAGACCGAACCACCCACTGGAATTAAAATGACCCAAACAGGCATGCAAATGACGTGTAGAAGGTGTGGAGAAGTTGGACACAATAAGAGAACATGCACTGCACGGACGCAGCCTACTGACGCACCACAGTTACAGAAGCGGAAGAGAGAGAGAGAGAGTTGCAGCTACCTTAAAGGGAAATGCACCATAGTCATAGTTACAGAAGCAGAAGGGAAAGAAGTCCAAAGCAGTGTAATCTAAATGTCATTGGATGTAGAAATGTAATTGAACTTTTTGGAATGAATTATGGATTTTGATGTTTTGGGAATGGTAACATGACAATATATGTGCTACCAATGTATACATGTTTTTATGTATACATGAATGAATTGTGGATTTTTGATGTTTTGGGAAGTGTTAAAATACTCTTCATTGTGAGGGTTGAAGTTTCATAAATTAATGTGTGCTACCAATGTATACAGGTTTTTATGTTGCATCTATACTTGAAGCTGTTGTTGATTTTGCACTGGAAACTGTTGTTAAAGTGATGGGGTATTTACTGTAAGCAGTTGAATAGGAAAGGGGCATTTTCCACCATTTTTTCAAAGGTATGGGACCAACAATCCACACCGTGCGAAATGTTGGGGGCTTTATCTGCACTATATACCTAACATTCGAGGCTTCCACTGCAAGATTTGCCAAACGTTTGGGGTGTTAATATTTGCATATTTATTCGACAACAAAATTGGTCAATGTTAATAGTGAACATGTACAGAACACCACAAATTGCAACTGCATTTAAGCCTTCATTAACGTAGGGGAAGAAGTAGGTTACACCATGAAGAAAGGATGATTACAGATCCAAGTAAAAAAAAAAAACCCGAAAAATCCCTAAGCAGATTTAACTGCAGATCCACTTCACAAACATTTCACATACAAACCCACAAAACCAAATCTTCCATACCCCTCCTCCATTCGAGCGGAGTTGCCTAATTTCAGCTTCCATCTCTCGTCTCGACCTCAGAAGACCAGGTATCAGCTCTCTTGATCTCTGACACATTGGGAGATCCTACGAAAGAAAGAACGTACAGCCTTGCAGAACCATACCTTGTGGACAGGTAAGAAATAGTCTACCTGGGTTCAAGTTAGTCCACAATGTTTTTCATCTGGGCACGAGTTCCGCAATTGCACTCTGGCATCTCCACTACTTCTATGTTCGGTTCAGGATGTTGACAGAGAGTGAGAAACTAACAACTGACAGACAATTTATTAGGGTTGTACTTGTATTCTTCATTTGGAGGGAACCGAACAAATAAAAAAGGGCATGAAAAAGTATTTTAAGTGTTTGGACTATTTTACCCTCTTCTATTTTGGTCAAAAGTTGTCAATTTTTTATTTGGGTGGTCAACTGACGGGCGTTGGGACGATTTTCGTCCAAAAGGGCATTCACTACAACGAATGTAAAGGTTAGGGGTGACGGTTATCACAAATCAAAGGTTTGGGAAAAGTCTACAAGTGTTTTAAAGGTTTGGGGCTTCTGCTGCAATTTTTCCTAAATTAAATTGATTGTTACAATAATATTTTCCATCACTCATTCACAAAATAAAATATTCTACACACAAATCAATAAAATTTCTTTAAATTTTAACCACACATTCTTCAAAAAAAACTATTCAAAACTTTATAATTTCTCCCACCGTGTGTACATTATAGTGTACACGCAGCATTACACTCCCTCACAAGAAATGGGGCCCACATACAATAAAATATTTGTGAACCCCTCTTCATATGAGAAGGGTTTAATGCGTTGTGTACACCATGACATTTTCGGGACAAAAAGTCATGTCATAATTATACTCGTACCTAATACGAACAATTAAAAAAGCACGCTTTAAACATACTTTGCATGAAAAT